AGGGTCTCTCTCTCTCTCACACACACACACACACGGTCACACAGGATGCCCATTCCCCCGCAGCCCGCACCCCATAATGAGCCCTAGGACCCAGGAAGCTGGTTTTAACTGGGGCTGCTTCATCTTTAATGGCTGGCAAGAGACGAGGTTACAGACCGGTGAATTCCAACACAAAACAACCTGCTCTTTCACTCTCTGCTGTACACAGCTTATGCTGTGACCTTGCTGTCACATGCAGGGAAATGCGACGTGCAGCACGGGGACTGAAGCAGGCAGACACTGCGTGTGAAAGGGTGCGGCGTGAGCATCACGCTGAGTGATAGAGGAGGTCTGAGAGCGAAAATGACCACAGCAGGTCTCACTGACTGACTACCCCCCCTCCCCCCCCCCTTCCAAGGGAACACGGGGCACTTCATGAAGTCGCCGTGAAATGGAATGGGAGGCTTGGCCCAAACGGCCACATGAGACAGAAATTCCTCCTGCGGTCAGGGAAAACCGATATGAGGTCTGAGGACCCAGAACTGAGGCTACAACGCAGGGGGGTGGGGAGGGGGGCGGGGACGGGGGGGCCCACCTTGAGGTGCTCCTGGAGCTGCACCTCATGCTGCCGGGTGAGGACCTCGTGCTGCTTCTGGAACTCGGCGAAGAGCAGCTGCTTCTGCAGCTCCTGCTGCTGCTTGAGGAGGAGAAGCTCATGCTGCAGCTGCTGCTCCCGCAGTGTGGGGTCCATCGGCGGTGGGGGCGGCGGAGGCGCATGGCCCAGCCGGGGCTCCGTGCGTAGGTCCACCGGGCCGCTGCCCTGGTCCCCACCGCCACCGGGGCTCTGCATCCCCACCGGGAGGGAAGTCTTTACCTCCACTGCTGGGTGAGGACAGAGGGAGGGAGGGAGAGGGAGAGGGGCAGAGAGGGAGAGGGGTAGAGAGAGGGATGCTGGTTAATAACAGAACGTGCCGGATAAAACCTCTACAGCACATACCTAAAATAAAAAGGTGTTGAAGGGGAAGTCCAGGAATGGGCTGAGGTTAATTCCGGGACGGGGGGGGGGTTTCGCCAGACCATGTCCTAACGATTCAAGGGACACAGGATCATAAACACGATGAACACGGAGGGGGGGTGGGGGAAACAAATGAGTCACTGGTGTCCTTGGGAGGCACTTGGATTCCCAGTCTGCGTCGGAAGTCCACGGGGAGCGAGATCCGCACAGCGGATCAGCGCTGCTGTTGTCTTGTCAACACCGTCATCTGCCATACGTATTAATCGCCGCGTTCGGCTTATTAAAGCAACACCCACGCTGTCATATAAGCATTAAAGGGGGGTTATAACCAGCATTTTATAGCAGGCAGTGTCCCATAAATCCTCATTATTATGAAAGCCTTTAAATATATATACTTAAGGAACAGTATGATTGACAAATAGTGGCTGAGATCCAGCTAACTGAGACAGTGCTCATTTTATTACAGATTATAAAAAAAGAGCTTATGATTTAGAATCCAGCTGTGGAAAGAAGTTACCATATATGAAGGTAAATTTGAAATATGACTTTAGGCCAACAGGAGACTCTGATACGTCAAAATACACCCACACATATATGTCCATATCACACATACCGACACATTAAAACGTCTCTTACATATATACACATATATGTGTGCAGTCTCTCACACACACACACACGCACAGCACCTGTGACACATTACACCTGTAATGCAGGTGACCTGACTTCCATAGAGCATTCCGGATGTATGGTGAGAACTGAGGCCTCGGTGCTTCTCTAAAGGGGCCGTTAGCAGACTGGCCAATCAGAACAGCCCGCTTAGGCTTCGCAGACTCTCCGCGTCGCACGGCTGGTCCATTCAGAGGTGCACCCTGGATTAGTCACCCCCCAGTCAGAGGCCCCTCTGGTCTGACTCACCGGCCCCGTCTGCATCTCGGGGGTCCTGCTTTTCTACAGCCACCAGTCACTCAGGTACATTTAACAGAAAAGACACAGATCTCAGGCTGCCGTCACCCACGCGCAACCTGCAGAGTGATGCACATAATGCCCCCCCCACCGTCTTTCCACCCCCAGGAGACCATGTACCCAAGGTGTGGGCAGAACTGGTGAATGGACATATTTACACATCCTTAACAGCATCACCAGCAGACGGAGTACGGCTCCCATCACTCGAACCTGGGGACAATCACCTCCGCTGGGCCATAAAGTTATCAACACACCGAGCGGGTCGGCAGCACTGCCAGCTGTGCAGCTCAAAGCAGACAGCAGAGTTACCCGCTGAGGGAACTTAAGATACGCTAGAAGACGGTCAGGAGCATATGATACCTGCCCCGGCCCCCGATCAACCAAGCCAGCGTAGTTTGCTAAAAGGGGAAGTAATCCAAGTAACCTGAGGTGGCGGAAATCTACCACTTACAGTTAATGGGACTATGTGTCTGTGTTTACTGACGCCTAAATACAACCACTGTTGCTGTGAAGGATGGTTAATGACGTCAGGAGCGGCTCTTTAAAAACAGGACCACCTGACTGGATTAGCACAAACACTGCGTACGCAGTCTGCCGGGGGGGGCGGCCCAGACCAGAGCGGGTCAGCAGGTCTCCGTACAGGTTATGGAATCGGGAACCAATAGTATGGCCCGTAGCCTTTGTGTACTCAATTTTCAGAAGGATTATTTTAAAATGGGATAGCGAAAAAAAGCGCAAAGACACCGAGATCATGAGCGACGTGGTACGAGCAGTCGGACGCCAGCCATACCAGCACTGCGTCACCACCTGGAAACCTGCAGTCTTTACGTGGGGACACTCCAGCACGTACTACGGGGGGGGGGGGGGGGCATCTTCCCATTCGGCATGGAGAGGAAACATGATAGGGCAGTGTTTCCCAATCCGGAACCCTGGGACCCACAGTCGGTCGACATTTTTGCTCCCTACGATCCCCCAGCCAGACAGTCCAGTCCATGTTTTTTTTTCTTTTTTTTTACCGGGGTTGGTAGGGAGCAAAAACGTGGAATGTCTGTGGGTCCCCAAGGACCGGAGTTGAAACATACTGCCCTAGAGGAATTCTCTGGAAAGACCTTCCAAAAAAATGTGTTGTTATTTTTTATTATTTTTATATTATTATAATTATTGTTATTTTATTTTAAATCTCAAATTCTGTGTGGTGCCACGCGGGAGGCTGTTTACACAGAACCCCAAAGCTGAATGCAATGCAGCATCAAAGCTAGAACAGGACTGATCCCCACATGCTGGTTCACACACGGTTCTGCCTGGGATGAGACAAGAGACACATCAAAAGCTCAGCATTTGCTGAAATTTGGACTCTGAGCGTTTAACAGAATGAGGACGCAATGTCAGGTTAAAAAAACATAAAAACGCCAGGGCTGACATCGTGTCCTGGAGTCACCGTGATCCGGGGAAGTGGGAAAAAGGACCGGCAAGCCCAGCGAAGCCGGGTCAAAACCGGCCAGACCAACCGAGAACGGCTAATGGCCCTACGCTTCATATCCTTGGCCTTAGCGATTCACGCGGCTCCCCCAAAACAGACACTGCGAAACAGCCCCCAATTTCACCGAAAGCTCTGCGGCGGGCGGCCGCAAGCAATTTTACAGCCAGTTCATCCTGATATCGCACGGTGGGGGGGGGGGCGGGCAATAAGCACTGCAACATAGAAACCCATGACTGCCAAAGATGTACACTGGGTCACGGCGCCTTCGGAAGAATGTGGAGGCTGCTTCCAGGCCCTTCCTGCATGAAAAACACACATCACGGAAATCCAAATGGGGGCAGCGACAAAACTCGCTGAACAGGATGCAGTCACACGCTCTTAAGGATGGGCTGTGCAAAAAAGTGAGGTAGAGACCGTTGCAGTCGGATTGAGACCAGAGGGCAAAGTGTCTGGGGTCAAGCCTGAACAGGACGAGCCGCTGAATGACGGGAACTCCGGCAAGACCGACTGCCGAACTCACAAGAGCAAGATGGCGGGTCTGAAAACTAACCAAGCTTTAAAAAAAAAAAAAGATCAAAATTGCCAATGAATCATATCCTCTCTAAAAAACAAATTAGCATACGTGCGATGACTGTCCTCAGTGCCTATCCGAAAGGAGAGTGAGAAAGAGAGTGTGAGAGGAGATGCTAATCAAATCAGTGTCAGTCATACAGGGCCGATCGATGAGACAGTGGTTGTGGTCCAGATAGCCACTTGACGCACACAGGTTTACACATCTGATTAGCCCAATGCTCTGTGGCGTTATTGTGATCCACTCATGGAGCAGCACTAAAAATAGCCCTTTCTCCATGGCAGCTGTTTACATAAAAGGGAGGAAAGGGGGGGAGGGGGAAGAGGTGGGGGGCACTTATCTTGCTTTAGTACTAAAATAAATAAATATCTATAAATCCACCTTGCTGGGCCAGAAGAATAGAGAGACTGGAAATGTAGACCTGTGTGTGTGCGCGTGCGTGTGCGAGCGGGTTTACCTATCCTTATGGGGACACAATGTCCCCATAACATGATAAATATCCATTTTTTCTCATCTCTATTCATCTCTATTAAAAATCGGTGACTGCTATGAGAAAACTAAAAATGCAAAAACTCTTGTATTTTGTTTGGTTACTTATGGTTATGGTTAGGGTAGGGTGGGGGTTAAGGTTGTCATAGTTAGCATTAGCATTTTTCTCTTTGAAATGAATGAGCGGTCCCCATAAGGATATGTTTACCCTACATGTGCGAGCGTGTGTGTGTGTGTGTGTGTGTGCGTGCGCGTGTGTGTGTGTGTGTGTGTGTGTGCGCGCTTTCCATTCGCCCGATGCATGTCCACTTTTCAATCACAGCGAGGGAGAGCAAGTCAACAGCCCACGCTGGGGGGGAGGGGGGGTCGCTTGCGGATCTATGTTGAGGGCCGAGAACACATTATGCTTATTATTTTCCAGCTGGCCGACTCACGCCGTTACCCAGGGTCACATTTCACAGTATTTATAAGGTTTTCATTGAAAGATGCTGGGCACTTCACTCAAAGGTACAACAGCTTCGCCCATTACTCCGCCAACGGGCCTTGGGCTTTTGTAACAAAAGGCCAGGCCAGACTTTTCATGTGAACATGCCAAATTAGCTAAACCCTCCACAGATAAACTTTAAAGGGGCCTCAACTGGCTGGGAGGAATTTTAAAAATGGACAGATGAAACTCTAAAGATGCCCATTTTTTAAATAAACAAGTGCTACTCAATCAAACAAGCATGCTGTTTAAATTAAGCGGGAGAAATTACAGCAAGCTGAATTTGGGGCCTGCCATTTTTTTTTTAAGAAGAGAATGCCAAACCAGGCCACTGACTTATTTAAAACAGCGGCATGCTACATCGGGCGCGAGTGTAAAAAGCCACCGCACGCCGGTCACATTCGAGCACAGAGCCGCTGAGCTCGATCTGGGACGGGAATCAACTGTCAGGCTCTGGGAACGAGTTTATTCCTCATGCAGCTTCCAGCATAACTGTGCCCCTGAAGAGTGTGTGCAGGCAACACACCTGCATGTCCCCTCAGCGGCGCGAGGCCTTCTTCTGCAGGTAATGGTGGAGCAGGGACAAGAATAACCCAACACTTTGACTCAGAGCAGGGCGTGCCTCCCCACCACAGCAGGGGGTGGGGGCGTCTGACGAGGGCACCTAGGCGCTGTCTGGATTTCCAGTGAGGTTTGAGTCGCTTACCCTGTAAAATGACTGCGCCGGAGCCGTGGAATGAAGCCAAGCTCACTAGAGACTGATTTTGGGAGCTTTTTTTTGTTTTATCTCTATCCCACAAAAATGGCACTCTTCTTTCCTTTTAATCGGGTAATTAGACTAATTAGGTGATAGCAAGGTAGTGGAGGGAGAGCCCGG